AAAACTTGCATTGTGCGCGTGCTATCTTGTACATGTTAACATTTTAAGTGCCAGTATGCGCGCGCTGAGCAGGAAACGAAATGCAAATAATTATAACTAAGGATGAACTTTTGTCGGCATAGCCTGCATGTGGAACTAGTTCGTTTCGTCTGTTTAATGTTGGCTGTTCCGATTTGGTGATCATGAAATGCTTCTCAGTCGTTCATAGGTCGCATCGCTCAGTCAGGTTTGAGTATAGGGTTTCGCCTTGGCCTGGATCTTGAATTTCATGGTGTAGTGTTGCTGTTTGCTTTTAACCTGGTTTTGTTTTAACTTTAACGGTAAACTTCGGCAAAATTAAAAGTAAGTCACCCAGGTTTGTCGACAGCTGAACGCCTCATCAGACATAATTATGGTTTAGCTCAAAAACCGACGGTATTCGTGGAAAGGTAGACGGTGTCGCGACATTTTGGCGGCCAGTACCGCGAGTAAAAAAGAATAAATTAGTAGATTCCTCTTAAAAGTAGGTTTCAATTCAACGGACAAAAAGGGCTAAATTTACCAATGTTTCGGCAAAGAAATCCTGGACTGCTGCTTTCCTTTCTTCGTAAAATGCCGTAAGAGATTTTTTTCCATTAGCCGCAACAGCTCGGTAGCTCAACAGCAGTGTACATACAAGCGCAAACCGGAAGAAGAACCGTTGGTTGTATATAGAAGAAAAAAAAGACAACCAGATGTGATAGGAGAAAGGCGAGATATCAGAATTTTATTTCTATTATTCATCTACAAAACTTTATAATTTAGTAGAGTTTGGCTCGACATCACAGCCTGCAAATCGAAAACGACATTCCACCAGTATTGGAGTATTCCGTTGGCAAAGTCAGTAATTTTATAGTTTCCTTATAGTTTCTGTGCGGCCGTTGCAACACTTGATGGAGAAAACCTCAAATCGTCAGTTGTATGTAGCTGCCTAGTTTAGTTCATTAGTCCCGTGTAAACAGCCTCTCTAATAACTGTTGTTAAACCTCGGTTAGCAGTGACTGTAGTAAACTTCTCTCGTAAAAGCACGACAAAATCTTGGCGCGCTACTCAATCGTTCCATGCTGTCTAAATCCAACGATCCTAGCTGAAGGAGGTCGAAATAGGAAACGCCTGTTTTTTCCTTTTTTGATATTTTTTTAAACAAGTTTTGCGATCTTTGTTAAGGTATTTTTTGAAATGATAATGCTTGAATTATGATTCCTTATTATAATTCATG